ATAGAATGAAAGCCAAAACATGTCCTGGGTTGTGTTTTCTTTGTGTAGGATAAATGAAGTACATTTTTTCCCCCCACTTGTTTACATAACAGCAATGCAATGTCGAGCCACTCTAAGCCATCTTTATCCTGAGGTCAGAGAATTTTCATTGGTGCAGACAGAGAGTCTGCACAGGGAAGCATGAGTTTGTTCTTACTGCTTAATTAACAGTAGTTCAAAGACTTTAAAGTTCTAGCTGTTGTTTTAGAGCAACCTATCATACAGTAACTAATATGAGAGGAAATCTACTCAGTGAATATCTAATATTAAAAATTTCCCGAATTACACTAGGCCTTGGACAGACATTCCAAAGATAATATTTGAATATTTCATTTTTTTAAAGACAGTGAAGTATTTCTACAATGATGCAATGTCCTGGTTTGAATACATTGTGATTTGGTAAGAAGAACCAACCTACCTTCACGTAATACGCAGTGAGCCAGCATGCTAGCTCTGCCATAAGATGCCACATTGCTTACACACAGCAGGAAAATTATTTATTAAAAAAAAAAAACACTAAAAGACAACTGGTCCCAGTGTAATGCCCTGTGGGACTCCAATTACAGTAATAAACACTGAAAACAATTGATGTGCGATTTTCAGCTTAAGCTGCTCGGGAAGGAAAATTGCCAAACTTTGTGGAAAAATGAAAAGAATCCGAGTAAGATAATGTTATAACTGTGCCAAACACTTGCAGACCAATCTCAAACCAAATCTTATCCACTGAACGTCTGACATGTTCTAAGAAATTAACATCCCCTCTGTCTTGGAAGAAACTTAACTTACATTGGAACATTTGTTATTAGACAGCTGTTGACACAATTTAAGCCTATAAAACATAGCATTTTGTAAATCAGGCCTAAATTCGCAGTGTCATTATAAAATAACTGAGTTGAGGCAGGGGGAATTACTTTCAAACTTTGACTAGGATCAAAATACATGATGTACAAAAGGAACTGGCAGATTTGTCTTAGCTCAAGTACAGGAGCTCTTCTCCAGCTTGCTCCCAACTCTGAGGAAGTTGGAGAAGGACAAAGGGCTTCTCCAACTTCATTGGATCATTGGTTGAATCCAATGACTAACCAATAGCAGCTCCAGCAGAAAGCGATCCTTAGGAGCGCCAGTGCACATCTAGCTCTGATAAAGAGCTTTGGTGGTGAAATCTGAGCGGACCCGGTCTTTGTTGACGATCCCGTCGGCCACGCCAACGTTGGATCAGCTTTTGATTTTATGGCAATGCACAGCTAAATGAGGGACACCTGAGACAGGAGCGGGGAGTTTATTAATTATTAAGCTGCTGGACTGCAGCTAAATGTTTGCATTCAGGGAGAGACGAGAGGAGGCAGCTGCACTTCTAGGGGTTCCCCACAGCAATTGGTCATTCTAAAAATAGATTTCTCAAGTTTGGACTATGGACAAAGTCATCTTTGTAGGCATGATTCATTCTCATACATTCAAGTGAATGAGCGGCAAGACTCTGAGGTGAGATCTTTTAACTAAAAATTAAAAAAGGAGGTTCAATGGGCAGCACTGCCCTGAAGGTCAGCTTAAACGCTGTTGTTTGGGTCAATCAGGTTTAAAAAAAAAAGAAGAGAAAGAAAATAGAAGAGGAAAGATCCTAATAAAAAGACACTGCACGTTGCACTAATCCGGCTATGAATAAGAGCGGCTTGCTGCAGCAGTTCCTTTATGCTCTGTCGATACCACAAGGGGATAAACGCTGAGCCAGCATCCAGCGCAACCTCACCAACACTGCAAACACTGCGGATTACCTCATTATATGTCTGTTAACCCGTTTAAGCCTCGCCACGAATACAGCTGCAAAGGTGGCCAGAGAGATTTGGGATAACATGTCGTTCTGTCCGACGGCTTCAAACCCTTTACTCTACATTTCTAATAAACTATTGACGATTTAATTTGTTTGAAATGGAGCAAGGCAATTGCTAAGTAATACTTGTGTACTTTGTTGACCAAAGTACACAAGTATTACACTGAGTCGAAATACAAGTATTACACTGTATTTCGACTCAGTTTACATAAACACATATACCCGTCTTAAAATATTTTAATTTATTAATATTTTTTCTCTCAGAGATGTTCAATGACAAAATTGCTACTTTTAGTTTACAACAATTAAAATCTGCTCTTTAACTTGCTGCAGCTAGTTAAAGAGCCAGCTAGCAAGTGAATCGCTCGTTGCAACATTCTTTTTTATTTTTAAAAAAGAAAAAAAAACATTAAATTGTCCACCACCCCAAGATTAAAATAAATTAGACATTTACGTCATTGTTTTTAAAAAAGATACAGATAGACATCTTTAAAGCAGCTAATTACCCAGCTAACAGAAATTCAATTGATCTGTTATCCCTAAAAGGTATGGTTCCTATGGCTAATGTCAGACTCTTGTGCAAGAAGCAATTGGTGATGTTTGGCAGATTCTCAGGACAATGGACTTCAAATGTAACGCACACGTGTTACATTTGTGTGTGTGTGTGTGTGTGTGTGTGTGTGTGTATGCATTTTTAACTGACCTACTTTATTAAAATGGCTCACAGAGTCATTAAATCACACCCAGCAACCTCAGTTTGACAGGACACTGACAGGACAATGCCAAAGGGAGATAATGACAATAAAGAAAGGAAGACGGATTATATAATATTTTAAACCCAGAATGTTTCCTTTATTATTCTATATAGTTACCACCTTCCCCTTTACTATCATTTCCTCTATAAATCACTGTCACCACCCTATCATTTTGAATCTTACCCCTATGCTTGCTTATGTTTGTTATTTTTACTTCCCCAGCCCCCTTTTTGTATTGAAGACCAACCCGTCTTTCAATTTTTTTCCTGTTTCATTCATTTTGCTTTGCTTTTCCCTTTAGCCAGTGTCTGTGCTCTCTCATTCTTTCTAAGCTTTGAAGAAGAGCTGAAAAATCCTGAGGGTGATGTATCCTAGCAACAGCAATATCCAACTTATTCAGCAGAGGGATGAACCAAATGTAATATTTGGGAAGAAAGGGGATTGCTAATAAAATGCTTTGGAGGAAGAGGTTGAAACAAATGCTGGAGGTATTACTACACTAAGAAGGTTAAGCTTAAAAACTTCCTGAGGTGATATATATTGAACTTATGAAGGGTTGCTTAAAAATCCGTACTATACAGAAAGCACTGTACAAAATAGTTGGTTGGGACAAACTGTGACGTATTAAATATAACTCAATGTGGAATGCAAAACTGAACCTGGAAGAGAAATATACACTAAAACCACCCCTCTATTTCCAAGTAGCAATGGAACACAAAAAACATAAATCAGAACAGAAACTAAACAAGCTGACATTAGGATTGCTGCACAGCTGTCTGCTACAAGACATTAGAAAAGCATCAGATTAACTTTCCAATAGACAATTTCTTGTAATCTTGTTGGACAGATTATGATCTGGAAATTGCCTTTCAACATATATTCAAAAAGGTGATCATTGATACTTCCCTTACATTTAACTTAAGTTGTAATCTATAAACATTTACTTTATGCCAAAATATAGCATCTTTAAAAAGTACTCAACCACTTTGATGTTGCCCTTTTTTTGCTTTTACAAATGAATCATGATCAACCTAAATTGGCTTCACCACCCTATAATGACTATAATCTCTGTACTCTTTTTGATAAAGACAAATCAAAAGAATACGTAGATCAGGGAAGCGTGTATCTCAAGTGACTGTAGAACAAAGACACTTGTGTCTGGAAGGTCCATTCACTGGTTAATTAATCACTGCTTTGCTTAAATTAGCCTCACATGAAGGGAAATTACAACTTCGTTCATAAAACTGATCTGTGGATTTGTCCCTATGGAGCACTGTGTCATAAGGCCATTAGCAACATTCAAATGGTCAGGAAACTCCTTTACCCCACTGAGAATCTGTGATTCTTAAAAAGAAGGTGGATAAGTAGAAACCAACTTTCTAAAACACTAGAATGGGTCATCACCAGTCAGAACTAACATCCAGCATCTACTTCCAGAGAGAACAACAGGCGCTATGAAGAAGAAAAGTTCAACACTGGAAACACTGACATATTTGCTAATAAAAAGCACTTGAAGTATACAAAATGCTTTACTGTCTTCACCACATTCATAAAAACATATGATGAACATTTGCATCAACACCAAAACTGTTAAGTCATGACTGTAGATGGAGAGGAGCACAAGCTTAGCAAAAATGTTGGTGTCCTCTTTACTCCAGCAGTGACATGGGGGATTCATTGTTCTGTTTTACATAAACTCTGCAACAAGACACCAAAATCCCATTTAAGGGAGGAGATGAAACAAGAGGTGGAGTTTTAAAGGAGCAACTGGACTGTTAAAAGAGAAACAAGTGACTCACTCACTTGAAGTAGTGTTCTTAAACACAGGTGAGTAAAGCTACTCAAACCTCCTTCTAGAAGATTTTTATAGCCTCCTATACAGCTAAATTTCTTTACGAGTTCGTTTTGATGGATTTTAAAGTAATGTTACAATCTTGTGAAGAGTTACTGTTGATTTTTACAGCCCTCCCACTCCCTTTTGATTCCAGTGAGTGAACATGGCGACTGCTTCCAGTTTTCTATCCGAAGAACAGTTTCTGTGCTCCATCTGTCTGGATGTGTTCACAGATCCAGTCACCATACCATGCGGACACAACTTCTGTAAGACGTGCATCACAAAGCACTGGAACATCAGCCGCCACCAGCAGTGTCCGCTGTGTAAGGAGCAGTTTGATCTCAGACCAGCTCTGCGGATCAACACCTTCATATCCGAGATGGCTTCTCACTTCAGGAATGCCAGGAGCTTGTCAGGACAAGTATCTCCCGGCTCAGGAGGGGTTCTGTGTGATGTGTGCACCAAACCCAAGCAGAAAGCCTTTAAGTCCTGCCTGGTGTGTGCTACTGCCTATTGCCATACTCACCTGGAGCCTCATACGAGAATCGCAGTGCTGAAAAAACATAAATTGATCAATCCAGTCATAAAACTGGAGACCATGATGTGTGGGAAGCATGAGAAGCCTCTGGAGCTGTTCTGCAAGACCGATCGGAGGTGCGTGTGTCCAAGCTGTGCTGCGTCCGACCACAAGAAGCATCGGGTTGTCGCTCTGACGGAAGAGTGTAAAGAAAAGAAGAAAGAGCTGGAGAAGACCAGAGTTTGTGTTGAGCAGATGATTCAGGAGAGATTACTAAAGATGGAGCAGTTTAAGCAGTTGGTGAAGCTCAGCAAGCAGGATGCAGAGGAAGTGACAGCAGCTGTTGTGGAGGACTGTTCAGATCTCATCGATTCTGCAAGAAAAAGTCTGGATCAATTCATCGACGTGATTGTACAGAAACAGAAAGCAACAGAAGAACAGGCAGAAGGTTTCATAAAAGAGCTGGAAGAGGAAATCTCCATGCTGATGAAGAATAGATCAAAGCTGACGCAGCTGTTGCAAATCGAAGACCACTTCCATCTGCTCCAAAACACCCCAAGAATGACAGTTACTGCCAAGGACTGGACCAAGGTCAGAGTCCAGTCCTCCTGCGATGCGACGGTGAGGATGGCTGCAGTTCAACTGGAGACGATCAGAACAGAGATGAAGAAGCTCTGCGCTCGCATTGAACTTGCGAGAGTCCGGCTGTATGGAGTGGACGTGACTCTGGATCCAAATACTGCAAACCCCTATCTGGTGATGTCCGACGATGGGAAAACTGTACGATGCAGTGATGTTACACAGGTTCTCCCAGACAAGCCAGAGAGATTGTCAGCCTTTGGAGTCTTGGGAAAGCAAAGTTTCACCTCAGGAAGATTTTACTACGAAGTTGAAGTAAAAGGGAAAACTAAATGGGAATTAGGAGTGGTCCGAGAGTCTATTGACAGGAAGGGTGAGAACGCTATTTGCCCTGAAAACGGCTACTGGGCTGTATGGTTAAGAAACGGCCATTACAGAGCTCTTACCGGGCCCTCTGTGCCTCTGGTTTTGGTGTCTGAGCCCCAGAAGGTGGGGGTTTTTGTGGATTACGACGAGGGTCTAGTTTCCTTTTATGATGCTGAGTCAGCACATCTCATCTTCTCCTTTACTAGCTGCAACTTCAGTGAGAAACTCTATCCTTACTTCAGTCCCTGTCCGAGTGACGGTGGCAAAAACTCAGCCCCTCTGATCATTTCCAGCATCAGCCACACATTAAACTGATCGCCCAAATGCAGTCACGTATCACTTTAAGAAAATATTTTGGATTTACTCAGGTTATATTTGATGTAAAAATGTATTGATCTGAGACATTTAAGTGATAAATGAAAAGCAAAAACAGAAGAAATCTGTAATAGGGACAAGAGAGCAGAGAATAAACTGAATAGCTTTTGGCTGAACCTCATTTCTAATCATTTTCTACATCTAGTTCTACCCTTTATTGGTAGTATTACAGTCCATTACTCCTCCTCCCTCCTCCAGACAGAGTATGAACTGATATCAAATGTTTAACTGTTATCTGAGAGGTACAGAAAGGACAGCTCTAATTTAACAACCTTTGTCAATGTCCTTGGGTGGAGAACTGACAACAGGGACAGCCGGCTGATGGAAACAATAAGTTGAGGTAAACTAGTGAGGTCCAACCCCACTTTGAGCTGAATACACCTGATCTAATCCAATAATTCTAGATATTTCTGGAGATTTCTTGAGTACATTTGAAATGGTTTCAGATTATTTTTAATCCCAAATAATACAAAATGTTCCAGAGGTACATGAAATGTGTAAACACAATAATTTATTTGTGAGACTTTAAATAAATGTGGAATATCAATGTATAGTGATAGATGAGTGTGTGAATATCAGCAGCTTGAACATTACTGAAAAGATCAAGTCACTGAAGAAAGGATCTCTGGTGCCCTCTGGTGGTGGTTTAGATTTATTAACAAAACCTAATAGCAGTTGTGAAGATGAAACGATTTAAAACCTTGTTATACCTTGATATTAGTGGCTGGCAAGCTTTAAAGGAAAATGGACATTTTAAGAATTTCTTATTTGATTTTTGTTTGTTTCATCAGCAAATTTAACAAAAAAATTCAAGTTTTCACTTGACCAGTGATAGGACCACATCTAAATTATTTTTTTTAAAGATATCAAAGGATTAGGCCATGGAATAACATCTTTGCCTCAACTTTATTCACATAAAAAATAAATCTGGGAATATCTTGCATAGATTTGGTAATTCTGCATTTTTAATCTGAATCTACTAAACTAAACACACACACAACAGAATGAAGTATGTAATTTGTTTTTATTGTGTTACATGTGACCATAAACTTCAGAGAAGTTACAGTTTCCATGGAGATACAGTAAATATATTCAATTACTTGAATAGGAAAAAGGTGTGTGATGCGTGTGTGGGGAAGTGAGTCGCCCCAGTTCGGATAGTCCCGCGTGTCTGTTATTAACGTGAAGTGGAATAAAAACGAGCGTGTGCATTTTGCAAAATAAAACAAACAAACATTAAATATGACAAAAGAACAGTCACCTAAAACTATGAGCTGAAAAACAAATGTTCAACATAAACCCACATACAAAAGAGGAATAAATAAAACGATATTTCACAGACACGGCAACGACGACGTACAGTAAAGATGGCCGCTTCCCTCCACGTTTTGTGTGTTGAAGACAAGGGAGCGAGGGAGACGGGAAGGAAAACTGCCTGCACTCTTCCTCCTGTGGCAGGGGATCGGCCTTCGGGAATCTACGGGCGGCGGGTGTCTACCTGTGGAGTCAGACTTCATATGGCACCGTCCACACTACAACTCTACAGTAAACCCAACCACAGTCCAAGTCCAAATTCAGACTATACCTTCTGTTGCACCCTGCCCACGCCACCTCCTTTAAGCTACAACTTCACCCCATGTCTGACTCTAAAAGGCACTGGTATGTACTTATTTCCACACATTCTACCTTCTCAGGCAATGAGGACGCACGGGAAAAAACAAACACACATACACTCGGGCCAGCCGGGTAACTTCCAGGGGTACAGCTGGCTCCTACGAACGCTACCGGTCTCTGTTGTCCCGAAGCTTCCATCGCTTAACAGTCTGCTGACGGCGGAGGCAATCGGATATATGTAAACGTCGACAAGGCTAACATCATAACAGGCGAAGACATGAATAAAAACACAGTAAAACAGTGCTGCTAAACTTACCAGGATGTTCGCCAACTAGTAAAACCCAAACAGGAGGAGGAAAACGGTTTGTGCACACAGTGAGAGTGTCCGGGTGCCGCTCCGGAGGCGCCGTCGCCCACCCGGATTATTTACACAGTGACTCCAACCGACTTCTACTCTAACACACAAAGAGTTTGGCTGCACGTTTTTGTACATTTGGAATGCTCTTAACATGGCGACGGTTAGAAAAAGGTCTACAAGTCTACGCGCTCCGACGAGGAGCCTCAGAACAGAGTCTATTCTAGGTTACATATTGAAACTTTGAGGCTCAAATGCGCTGGAGGAAGTGACTGATACTCTTTATCGGATCTGCAGCGGAGCTGCTGCAGTCAGGCAGTGAAGTTCGAACAAAGTGTTGAGCTTTGATTTGTCTACTCGGAGCCTATTTTTGCCATATGCTTCTATTTCACTAGTTCCCCACCAATCCAGTTCACATGTTGCTGCTGGTGCTTGCTTGGCATTTGCTTTTAACTGAAGCACCACAAGAATAAATAAATAAGTTATATTGTGGCAAAGTTATTTACTAGAGGACACCAGCAGTTGGATATTTCATTTATATTTTATATAAAAATTACATGGTGGAAATAATATATATTGTATTATTGTCATTACCCTCATCTTTAGCACAGATCCTGTACCACTTAAATTAGGACTTTAACAATTTACACGACTTTGCGTGCAGACACTGCTCTCTGTGGTAAATACAGATTTATCATTCATTTTCTGTCATCTCTAACAGTTAACCAATTAACCAAACTGAAATATGGAAAAAGTTAAAATAGTGTCGACTTAAACCAACAAGAAGCATGCTAACATCAGCTTACCACGCTAAAACTGATCGGCCTGCATATAAACATTAGTACCGCAACATTCAGATTTGTATTTAGAAACAAATGATAAAATCATGAAGGTTTAAATGAATTGGATGAGTAACCAATTATATCAGGACACCTGGTTGACGATAACGAGACGAATGACGTGCTTTGGCTCGTATTTGTTGGATTATCTATAGAGCCAGTTAAAAACCGGCTACAGCACCAGACGTAGTTCAACACTAGAACCGGATTGGTGGAAACATTGTTAATAAGTATAATAATAAACGGCACCCTTTCAAACTTAGATGTGAGGTTTTTATACTTAAGTTGTTAAAGAGATGTTAAAATAGTGAGGATAAAAAAAAAAAACAATCATTCGTTCTCACTCTAAGTTTGATTTGAAGAAACTAGGCTTAAGAGACAGAGTGCCGTTCTAAGATTCTTTATTACTAATCTCTACCAGAAGGTCGTCTAGCTTAAATTAGGACAGTAAAAGGGCAGTGGTCACTGGGGTGTTTTTTTATTTTATTTTTTTATTTTATTTTTTTTTTCTTGATTAGAGCATCAGTATGTCTCAATGCTGAGTCGATACCAAAGTGAATGTCCCACATTTCCAGTGCATTTGTGCCGTAAGACAAAAATGGTCTCCAAAGGGTTAAAGTTCGCTACTTACATTATACACATAGGATGTGTCAAATGTGATCTATTTTCTTTTTTTCTCTCTAAACAACGACTTTGTATGCAAAAAGCGGAGGTCTATAGCTTCTCTTCCTTTTGTCCCTTGTGTTATTCTCACTGTCTTCTATTTCCAGATGTGGAATCGAGGGTGAATGTAAGAGGATCTGATCATATAAAAATAAAAGTTGCACACATTGGACCACTTTGTTTTTCTTTCCCTTTTTTTTTCCCATCACGTTGAGTTTTCTGTTCTGAGCAGGCTTCAGTTAAACACAAGATGAGATAGGAAAACAGAAAAGAAGCACTAAAATTAAAGGGATCTCATGTGCGTGTGTTACAATCTGACCTGTGGTCCTTGTTTTTGTGTTAGAAGCTTCCCTGTCGTTTGAGGTGAAATGTGAAACATCAGAGTAGCATCACTCCGTTTAAAAAAAAAGCAAAAATAATGAAACAGCTAATAAAAAACGGCTGCCGTCTTTGCCTTTAACATCAAGGCATTAAAAAAAAAAAAAAAAAAAAAAAAAAACAAAGAAAAAAAAAAACCCGAGGCAGTCCAGCCTTTTATTCCATGTGAAATCCCTTCACCGCTGTTCCCCTCTCTTTGAAATCCATGCATCTCCGCGGAGATTTAGAATGATGATGTTTGCGAATAAATACGATAAAAACGGTCTCTTTCCGAGTTCTTCTGCTTTTCCACAACACAAAGATATGGGTTTGTTAAGCGGAGAGAAGGAGGGAGCTGGAGGTCAGCTCGTCTAAAAATCTCCGGTGTGTGTGTGTGAGAGAGAGTGAGTTCAGGTTGAGGCCTTGTGGCTGCTACTTGAAAATGTAGTTGATGAGAACCTGAAGGACGACGAGGCAGGCGATGATGACGTAGTCCCGCTGCTGGAGGAAGGACGTGTTCTCCGCCCGGCTCTCTGAACGCATCCGCAGCGCCACCACGTTCCTTTACAACAACAGACAGGGACGTTTAACGGGCGCGGCATCGGGACGCGTTTGCAGCACGGGACGAGTCGAGCTCTTCCTCACCTGTTAATGTCCTCCTGCGTCTGCTTTATGGAGTTGATGGCACTTTGAAGTTCGCTGAGGTCTGCACCCTTTTTTCTCAGCCGACAGTTATGCTTGCTTTTGTGTCCTGCAACAAAAAAATAAAAATAAATTGGCGGTTTTGTCATTATCAGGGTACCGACTAATATTTCATACATTTAGTGATGGAAAACGTGCCCACAGCATCATGCTGCCACTGCTTAATGGGTTAAGGAGCATCTGCAAAGTATTCAAAGTGTTATTTATTTGTATTTTAATTTTAATAGGTTTTTTTTCTCCATATAGACCTATCTATGTTTTAAATAAAGTTGTTTATGATGTTGTTAACCCATTTTGTTATGTTATGTCCTTATTTTCAAATGTATTAAATACACTTTTCTCTCAAAATTCAACACGGCGTGCAATAAAAAAGTGACATTTTTGATAACTTGTTAAAATTGAGAAACAAAACATACAGAAAAAAAAGTAAAGTATTAACAGCTTTTATTCTACGCTCTGTTGAAACGCCTTTGATGGCAAACAGCCTCTGGTCTTCTTGGGCGAGTCTAAAAGATTTGAATGTTTTGGAGTAATTTCAACATTCTTCATAAACTTTTGCTTCAGTCCACAACTTATTATTTGTCTTACCTTTAATTTTTTTTTGTACCTGTGTGCCCTTTACTTCACTGATGATAACCATTAATTTGACCACTGTGGTACAAATTTCACTCTGTTCTATGATGTGAAGCTTTTTCAGTGCTGCCCATTATGCAAACTTCATGTATTTCTGTTTAGAATCCATTTTACAAGTTCAGAAAATGCTAAAAAAAGGCCAAGGAAATCCTAAAAGAAGTCCGCTGAGCGGTATAATTCCATTCCGTTCACATAGCTGTGTTTGCATATGGACATGCTCGATGAGGCTCACTCACGTTCGCTCCCCGATGAGTCATGGTGATCAGGTTCTGGTGAGGAGCAGCCGCTCTCCAGGCTCTTGGGGTTGTCGCTCTTGTGTGTTCTCTTTGGCACCGTTACCTGATCAGCCATTCGCAGATGGACACACAAACAAACAAACACATGTGATAAACAGTTGGAACGTTATCAGCCAGCAAAAAGCAGATAAAAACACACATAAAAGGGCAAAAAGAAAGAGAATAAACAGCGTTAAAAATTGGGATTCTCGTGCAGGAAACTCCACCGGTGTCGGCGGATAGCGGCGGCGAAGTGACACATGCTGGTGTGTTAGTGCGATGATAGCAACACACAGCTAGCACTCAAAAGTAAACAACCAGGGGAGAGTTGGAACACAGAATCTGTTTGTAGTAATGAGGGCAAACTTGCAAACAGCTTTAATTAAATATTTTAGTTAAAATCTGATAAGAAACTCCTTAATTTAAGTTTTTTTTTATTAGTAAAAACACAATTTTACAAAAAAAAAACAACAAAAAATTACTTGTCAAAACTGACAGCCAGTTGAGGTCCAAGGTTTTCGCATTATGCAGGCCAGTAAAAAGTTTTCATAAAAACAAAACCAGCGAGGGAAAAGGAAGTAGATCAGTTATGCCAGCTTGACTTTGACAACGTTAATATGTGTATGTGCTGCAGAATTTTGTGCGTTTCAGTTCAGAAAAAAAAAAGAAAAAAAAGGCAAACCACACACCAACTCTCTGACAGATCATCAGTAGAGCAAGTGTTTAAATTAGCTGATCAATCACCGCTGGGTTCAGTTGATCACTGATTAATAATTGCAAAATAAACATCGAGCCTGAAAACGTAAGACCATAACGGACTGAATGTTCCGCTCTTCGAGTGGGGAATGTTTTTTGGTGTTGAATCCTGGATCATTTAAATATAACCTCAGCTCTGCTGGTTGCTGTGGCAACGGGTCTGCGTGTAGCGTGAAGCCGACGCAGAGCGAGAACGAAGCAGAATATGAGTGGTTTATTCTTCAGCGGGTTTTTTTCTGCGTTATTTTTCCTTTGCCATGGCGCACTGCGCTGAGTTAATAACACTTACATCTCCAGTTTCATTTTGTTAACAGAACTCTACTACAGCAGTGCGGCTATGGATGGTGAGTAAAAGGATCGTCTTTTTCCCCTCCAGCGTTTGTGCTCATGCGTGAACTTTTTGGATGTAAACAACAACAGTTAGCGTGTCTGCAACACTGGCTCATACTGGTTGTTGCATCTGATTACTACTAAACACTGAGCATTTTTCCGCCTTCTAAAATTAATTTAAACTACTCTAAGCGTTAGTGTTTGATGAGTCATGCAGACACAACAATGAAACAATGAGGGCGACAGAGCAGCCGGTGTAAGACAAAAAGTTTTAAATAATGGATTTAAAAAAAACAAACAAACAAAGAGGCACACAAGAGTCCAGGCTTATGATGGCGGCAGCGGACAGGTGGTGGCACAAAGAGATGAAGCGACAATGGAGGCGGTGCGCCGGCTGATGCGTGAAGGACGGATGAGGCGGTGGCATGCTTCGTCACCGGGACAACGTACCTGGCACTTGCAATTGTCCCTCCGCGGCCCCTGGTTACTCAGACTAATAAGACTGCCAGAACGTACCATAGGGGTGCGGTGTCGGACCTTGGTCTGGATGCAGCCGTCTTTCTCAAACTGAATCAGGTCGTTGAGCGGATCCCACGGCCTGGTGCTGAGGAAACACACAAACCGAAGAAATGAGAAGGCAAAAGAAGAGGGACAGAATCTGTTCTTTAAGTTTCTAAACTGGAGTACTTCTAACAAGCTTTCAAGTGCTGTTGGTTCTTATTATGAATGAAACTAACTTTCTGTTTTCCAGAAATGACTCCCATACTTCTATGGTGTTCCTATTTCTACCCGACCTTACAGAGAGAGAACTACTTGTATGTTTGGCTGGACGAACGGCTTGACACCCAGGAGTGTTTTTTTGCAACATGGCAGAACTGTGTTATTAGTTTACACCTTTGTCATGACATATTCTTCAGAGTACATTAAAGCTTAATTCTCACAGGGAGAGTGAAAATACTGTCTTCTAAATAATCTTCTTTATAAGTAATAGTATATATTGTTTATGTAGTTCAATATAAATGTTGAAGTCATACATTAAGCATTAATCAAAAGGGACAAGCAAACTAAAGGTCAGATAAAATAAAATAAAAAAAACCAACACAATCTTCCTTTGATCATGATAACTCTGCAGTTACAGTAGCCACCAGAAGGTGGCAGCCTTGCACTTTGCTAAGAAAAAACAAAGAAGCAAATGGTAATAATTTTAAAAGAAATCCATTAAGGTTTGATGACTTTTTTTTAGTAACTACTTTTTAAAGCTACATTCAAAATGCCTCATAACTGTAAAACACTTAGATGCTAAAAGTCAAAGTTTAGAAACATTTTTTGGCCTTGCAGTGGTGAATCTGGGCGCACCCATCTGAAGTCTAATCTGGCTGGTGTGCAGGGCCACAGAGGAGCCACTCACTCGGCATATCTGTAATGCCACTCTCCGGTGATGGGGTCCTGCTCGAACAGGGCGGGGATCCAATCCTCGCATTTGGTTTTGCGCTCCCGGGCCGCCTTCCTCTGAGCTTCCTCCAGGATGAACTTCTCGTTGGTGGCCTCCGTCTGGTCCTTGTTGTTGATCGCTCGAGTCACGTGCTGCCACAGCCTGGACGGTCATAAAAACATTACAACCTGTTTGGATATTCCTCACGTTTGTCCTTTCATTCAAATAGTCTGGAAATGTTAAAAAGCAGAACTCTAGTGTAGAAGGGATTAGGATTATCCAAAGACAGTGGAGGATGAATTCTTATTCTTAAGAATTCTTATTTATGTTCATTAAATAAACCAAAGTGCACCTTTCTGACTCGAAGTCCCCCTGCTCTTCAGGTGGGACTGTGTAGCGCGTCAGCCTGTTCTGCCTCAGCTCCGGCGTCGGGTCCCAGAACGTATCCATCGTCCCCGTTTTTTTGTCGTTGATGAAGATCTCACTGTCCTGTGAGAGGAAAGTCAAACACAGTCATTAGCTGTGTTTCCATTAACCATATAATTGTTCAAATTGGAATTACGAAAATCATTTTGCTTAATACAACAATGTAGAAAAAAAGAAAAAAAAAAGTTTTTCGGTAACACTTTTTTTGCATGACACGAGTTATTTGACTATCAACCAGATGTTACTGCTGGCGGAAACGACAAACAAGACAACAGGAAGTGTTAGAAGGATGTTTTTTAAAAACTTATCCTTAATAAGTATAAGTTTTTTAAAAACTACTACAGTACTGATGATAAGTACATACAGTACTCTCATCAGTACTGTTTGTTCACAAGATTGTTTATCCTGTGAACAAACAATCACGTGTGATTTTAATTGCGTGTCTTATTTAACGGAAAACGCAATTGCAAAATTGTGTTTTGTTCGACATTAGCGAAATACTGACAAAGTTAGCTCGTGAAGCTATGATTTGTTCACTACTTCCTCTCAAATCTTTGTCTACAGCCTTACAAAACAACAGAAATCTAAATAAACACATTCAAGCTACTAAAACAAAATGAATATTACAAGCAAGAAAAAACATACTTGGTGTTATTTAGAACAATAGGTGGAGTCATACCCAGTGTCCCTCTAGAGTAGCCAGGACCTCCTTTCCCAGCTTGATCTTCCCAGAGATCTGGTTGACACAATCGCTGCTGCCCAGAAACGGCTAAAAAAGACAAGCAAGACGAGGGACAAGAGGCGAAGGGGACGTAAGAGGAATCAAGGACGAGGGAGGACAGGACACAAAATGGAGGACAAGCACAGGACAGTAAAACCAGAGCGAAGAAATGGACTGTTGTTACTTTGAAGAAACATTTTATAATGATTTTTTATCTTTTAAATCGAATTTCTTTAAATATTTACCGATGCTCCTTGAGAAGAGATTCATAATCTGACAAGAAATCCTGCTGATCTGCCCTGTTAACCGCATTTTTAGTTAATTAGATTTTAAAATGTTTTTTTCTTCTATTGAAGCTCTCCGATCAGACTCACTGTTTTGGAATAAACGATTGATAGGAATAAACCGCTTGCACTAAAGTCAGCTATCCTGTCCTGCACATACCTGCCGCTGGTTCATGACAGGGTAAAGCAGTTGGTAATGGTGGGGTTGGAGTTGGGTTATAGGGTTGGGTAAAGAGGTGGGACGGGTGGAAATGTTGACGGAGGAGCGAGACAATCGGAGACATCGCATAAGAAACATTTCTGCTCCTTTTACACTGACCATCTCCCACTCTACGATGACCGCCACAAGTCTTGCAAACGTACCTTCAGTTTGAACTCGAGCTGAGAGCTGTAGCCCGTTTTCTCACACGCAATGGTGATCTGACCTCCCAGCTCCAAGGTCATGGTTCCGTACAGAATGCCTTTGATATAAAAACATGTTCCAGTCAATACAGATCAACTAGATGTGAAGTTAAACAAAGGTTTGTGGCGTGCGCTCTGACCTTTACAGTGAGCGTAGGGCATGTTCATAACGTAGTCCTCCCCTCGGTTGAGGAAGGTGAGCCGAGCCTCTCCGTCTAAAATGGCTGACAGGGAGTTTCCTGGAATGGGAGTGGAAACTCATCAGTGCTCTGAGAATGTTAACGAGGCGAGAATTAAGACGGCTGAGGTCGTTTGTACCGTAGAACTTGGACTTGGCGAGGATGCTGCCGCTGAGGCAGAACCCGTCTTTCCTGTTGCTGACGTAGAAGGCCGACACTGGCGGATGGTGAGAGACCTGAGAAGAGAAGGTTTTTACCCACAAGGCAACTTTGATTTGGCTGTACACTTCCTTCCTTTAGGTCCCAAAATGGTGCATTTTACAAAAGAGTCATGAAAATTCAACATTTCTCTTCATCTTTCACTGCTTGTAATCTATTGAACAACTTCAGACCTACCCATAGATAGAAAGTTTTTCAGATATAGTCACCTTGCCAAAATAATGGTTGCAGATGACTGAAACTTGGACAAGTCTAATTTATGGAAGTTAACAATGAATCATTTCAACCAGCCAATGAATGTGATACTCATCCCAATGTAAACCTCTCATCAGTACTGTATGTAAGCTGCTGGTGGTGCTGGTACCTGTTCTGCGATGTAAAAAGTCTTGCTGTTGGTCTTCTGATGGAGCCACATGCACCGGTACGTCTCTCCAATGATGGGGTTGTATGGCTTCTTCAACCCCTGTGGATTAAAGCAAAAACATGATTCATCAGAGCAAAATAAATACAAAAAAATAAAAAAATACACATAACTCATCGTGAAGTGAGTCAAACTGACCTGTGGCTTTTTGTAAAATCCAGAGATGTACCATTTCACCACCTTCTTCATCCGGTTGTAGGCATTCTCTTCAATTGCAGCTCTGGAACGAGAAACATCGACTTCTTACCTGAGCCATGTTGTCATAACAACCGCGTCTTCTCCATTGACAGTGCATTTATTGAACGGAAAACACAGGAAGCTCTTACTCGGACAGGAAGTCTGCGTGGTAGTAGTAGTCGGACAGCTTGTCCAGGAAGGACCTCGGCTCCAGGACGAAGGTGGGCAGGACGACCTTGGACAGATCCATGCCTGGACGCACCTGCTTCAGCAGAGTCCAGATCAGAGACTTGTTCTCCTCGGATACGGTCTCCGTCTGTGCAGCCTCGCCGGCCTGAAATGGAGCAAGTCGACGACGTTAGCTAAAACATGCACAACCTGTACTGTGCCAACACTAAATCCCACTGAGGCTGCTGAGTCTCTCGTCAATGTGAAGGTTTCATTGAGCTTACTCCAAGTGTTTCATTTGTACGCTGATAGACTCTCAGAATGGAAATGAGAGTTGGCACTTTCACACTTGCCATCAACTCACTGGAGTCTCTCAGACAGAGCGAATTGCAGATATTATGATCACAAACTGACATGCTGCATAGAAACATTAAAAAGAAGTCTTTGTATGATTCTGCAGTTCAAGACTGAGATGAAAATGGTTGAAATCCTTTAAGGATATAATGAAAGTTTAATGTAAAGCCGTACCTCCCCCAGCTCTTCGTGCGACTGCTCCATGTACGGGGTTTCCCGCAGGTGCTCATTGGGGTCCATTTCGATGTACGAGTCGTCCTGGCGCTCTGACGTGTCGCTGTCGCTCTCCTCGCTCTTCTCCAGGCCCTCGGGGTCCGACTCCTCGTGGTCCTGTTCGCCCTCCCGGTCTGACTTGTCCGAGTACAGGTCCGGGTCTTTTAGGTGGTCGCCGTCGTTGAACCTGAGATGAGACGGTTCGGGTGCGAAGGGAAACAGATTCGCCAAGTCAATAATCAATAAGTGGATCCCCTGGATTCTTTCCTAACTACCTGTCAAGGATAAACGTTTTTCAAACTATTTTGCCAGCACATAAGTGCAGACTAAAACTGATTATTTGTTGTGAAGCCAACTCTATATGCGTCTCTCTGACTAGCAGTGTAGGTCGTGTGCGCTAACTGGTGCTGCTCACTGGAAGCCTTGCATGTTGTGGGCTCTGAGGAGGCTGTAGAAGTTAATGGAGTGCTCTCCACCGGTGGACACGGTGCTCATGTCCTCCTTCCCCTCCCGGATCATGGTCCTCTTCAGCAGGCTGGAGCACTTCAGGGCCAGCTCCAAGGCGTCCATCCAGCATCGACCTGAGTGAAACCGGCCCAATTACACACCCACACGTCAGGAACAAAACCGCACAAGGTGCTACACTAAAAAAAGAAACTTAACTTTGGATTATCGTAACTCGAATAGATGTCTTTTATGTCCCTTCCTGGGACAGTTTTCCTCAATACGGGATTGTGGAATACGTGGAATGTAAAGGTTTAACAAATGCAAAATAGAGGTGTGTGACCAGAGGAATTAGTTGTTCTTCACAATCAGATGAAAACAATTGCATGATGGGCAATGAACCTTAGTGGTTGAAATACTGTTCCAGTTTGACTCATTCCAGCACCATGGAGAGAGACTCTGGAGCAAGACGGAACAGCTCTCCATGTGTCAGCACCATGGACAGCGCAATAAATGCTACGATTCCTCCTGTTTTCTCTAAACCCCTAGAGAGTTTGCACTAAAACATCATTAAATGTAGGTATTTTGGGTAAATCCTTAATGAGGTTAGTTAGTCTGAAAAAAGACATTTTCTTGCATTTTGTGATGTTTTTAAAGCATCTATTTTCCCACACTCACTCACATAAAAGTCCCATTTAAATGCACTGAAGTTTGAGGTTCTGACAAAACAAAATGAGCAAAAGTTAAAGCGGTGTGAAGACTTTTGCAAATGACTGTATGGATTTACTTAGAGCACAGACGTATTTACTCTAAGCTTGGCTCATGATAAATTTTGCAGGACGATAAATTGTCCCTGAAATTATTGCGATAAACAACAATCCTGTAGTTTTGAGAGCTTTTTCAACTAATATAAAAATAATGGCAAACATTAGCAAGTTCCAATAAACTTTCATTTTGCACATAACACTGCACACTGCCACTGGAAGACAAATATCTACAGCAAAATTGCTGAAAACAAAATTGTGTATCAAAAAATATGAAATCCCCAGAATGGAAATTATTCAGCTAATTTTAATTCATCATGCGATTACTTGATTCATTTCTTAATGCTGCTGAAGACAGCATTGGGTCGAGTCGGTCAGTTTTACTTTAGCGGTGGAGTCAGAGATTGATGTGTGAATGACAGTCCGTCTCTCACCATCAGACTCTGATGCGGCGCGGAAGATGAGGTGGCTGCTGGGTAACGGCTGCGTGATGGAGCCCACCGCCTCTCCTTTAGGACCCTGAGGACAGAAAAGGACAGCGTGTTGAAAACAATTACAGAGCTCCAGGCTGTCATGACGGACCACGTCACTTCTGAGATCCAGGCGCCGACTCTTTGACAGATTCTCATTTCAGTTAATATGTTTTCACTACTTTCCGTTTAATTAATTCGATCCTAAATACGAACCACAGTGGATGTGTCAATTATGCAAACATGAGAGGGCTCAGAGTGGGCAGATGCAGGATAAGTGAGAAGCTAAATTTGGTAGTGCGGCTAATGAACAGCGGAGCAGGGCAGCTCTCTTCAGAACGAGAAAAAAACAAAACAAAAAAAACAAAAAATGCTGGAGAGCTTTCATGGTCAGTGATGAATAAGTAATTATAGCTGGAGTGGCCCCATTGAGAGCCGGGGACTAAGGAACAAAGGGAGCGCGTGGGCTGCCAAATATGAAAATGGCTTCCTGGACAAATCATTTTCTTTTGTCTGTCCTAAATTACAGCAGGATGCTCTCATAATTATGACTTAATATCCACATCTGGGTTTCAAATCGTAACCAGGTTTCTTTCTTCTTTTTTTTTTTTTTTCCCCTCTGGAGGTGGACAAACAGGAGGACGTTTTATTTATGGTTTTTCCACTTGAAAACTTTCTCCCACCTCTTAGAATTGTCAGAAACAAACGCTTCCGGTGGATAAAATTTTGACTATATAGAAAAAGCACTTCAGAAGTGTTAGTAGGCAAGACGGAGGAAGTGTCATGCTGTGGGCCTGTTCCATAAGAACCTGATTGTTAAAGCAGCATCATTAAAGGGGCAGTATTATGTGTTTTCCAGGTACATATAGCCATTTTAATAACACAATCAAGTAATTATGTTAACTTCAGTTGTTATACAAAATGCTGTGTATATCAAACATGACTTAAAATAAACTTTACTTCCTAATTGAACGTGTTGAATTGGGCCTCTGTCTCTTTAAAATTTCCTGCTCTTTCTGAAACTCCTTTAGGAAGTTATCATAAAACGGCTCCTCTATTAACCCTTTAACAACATTTTTTACCAGTATTTCACTTAGCAGTGGCTCGTAAATGAGAGCAGCAGCAGTGCAGTTCCACCAGGTGTTTGCTAATTGCTGCTGGCTAGTCTGAAGGAGCTGAGTGAGGGAATGAGGCAGAAGCTTCGTTGTTTGCTACATCCACCCCGGCGTTTTGCACAGCTGACTGGTTGCCCTTGAGATTAAGAGGTTTCTCAAATACACATGAATGAATCATGGCAACAATCCATGTACGTTTTTGAAGAGGGAATAGCATTAAAACAAGACATAAAGCTTCAAAAAAGGTGATTTTACACAATACTGCCCCTTTAACTCTTGGAAATAAAATATTTTTTTAGTATAAAAAATAGTTTGAATCTATCAGAAGTTATGTGCATTTCCTGGGTGTTCTGACCTTCACCGCCCAGATGGATTGCTCCAGCGGGTGAAAGAGCTTGAAGCAGAAGCCGTCCTTCTTGGACGGCCTCTCGATGAGCTCGCAGGCGTTCAGCAGCACCGTTCCCACCCACTGGCCGTTTTTGTTAGTCTTATATATGAGGAGGACCCCCGGCTTCAGCACGCACCACAGCTTGGTCCAGCTCTTCAGCGTGCCTCGGATCTGCAGACGGAAACGTGTCAACCTGAAGCCTGTTCTGCTTCGATGGAAAGACGGAGGGGGGGAAAAAGGTGAGGCGGCCCCACCTTCAGCCAGTCGGCCATGACGATAACAGAAGGGTCTGTGATGGTGCTAAGCAGCTCCTTGGTCGCCCTCTTCTTTTCTTCTCTGTAGTTCTTCTTCTGCACCTGCAGAGAAAAAGAACGCATTCAATTTGATGTATTTGTTGTTTGTTTCACACATTATGACACCGTGGCACAATCTGAACTTGTGAGAACAAGTGTCGGATGTGAAATAAGAACAAACGTTCCCTGATTATACAAGACACACCCTGAATGAAAGCCGACTTTTACAGGCAGCCTCTGAGAATTAGTATCCAGATATGTGGGACTTAAGCTGCTTTAGAGCGTTCTCACCTTGAGGGACTCCTTCTTGGTGAGCTTTCCGCCAGACGCTGGCACATCCTTATCTGAGCCATTGTACAGCTTGGTTTCAGACTTGGAAAAAAAAGAAAAAGAAAACATAACATGTTTATCTCAGAAGACATCCCATCTGCTTCTGTACAGTTTCTGCAATTCCATAAAACATTGGTGGGTTTCTGTAAACCGTTCTGAAAATGATGCATGTTTTTACATTTTCCTATAGTAAAAGTCTAAATGCTATCTTTATTTTTGAACAAAATCATTTGTAAAAAAAAGAGGAATACATGAACACAAACTAACAAAAACAACAACATAAGAATAATTTTAGCAACCACACCTGTTTGAAAAGGAGTTAAAAGAAGTTTAATGTTTTTTTTTTAATTGCCACTCCTTTATACTCTTCTTCAACATATCCTTAAACCAAAATACACGTGAATAAAATATTTGTAAAACGAGGCGTTTATTTCTATTCATCCCCCTTTACTCTGACAACTTCAAATGAAATGAGGTTTAAATCACTTTCAGACGTGAGATTGGGGTGAGACGTTTACCTTCCTGTTGAATGAGCCTAAACATACAGCCAGAGCTACAGTGAAAAAGGCTTAAAGTGGTCCAGTCAAAGTCCAGACCTACGTCTTTAAAAGAGTCTGAGGCAAAGCTTAAAGATTTATGTTCACAGACATGCAACAAAAGCATGCCAGATGTGTTTGGGTGAACTTCACCAAAATCTTAACTGGATTTTGAAATCACAACACTGCAAAAACACAAAATCTTTTAAAGTACATACTTTAAAAGTTCAAATATCTCTGTGCATTTGAAATAAGACAGAACTAACTTACAAGTAACTTTGCAGCAAATGACATGAGCTTGTTTTAAATCAATAATTCCACAACACATTTTCCCCATGCAATAAGCGAAATAATCTAATACTTTTTCATCAATATTCACTTGAAACAAGCTCCTACGCCTTTTTGAAAAATTACTTGTAAGTTCATTTTGTGTTACTTCAACTGTATTTGCTCTAGAAACCAGTCCAAAAATACTTGGTAAGACTTTTGTGTTTGTGCAGTGAATGAAGCATAGTGGCATGCCTGTATTAACAATAAACAGTTCTTAGTGAACTGGATCAGGCTGTAAAAGGAGTCATTATTATTATTATTATTATTATTATTATTGACAGACAGCCATGTTTTATCTGAACATTGGTAAATATTTCATTCTGCACATAAAAGCAGACGAACTAGAGCTGCTCAACGGTGTCGGTGTGTGATGCATGAGTCATCTCAGCAGGGCTTAACGCTGCTGATGCAAGACCGGGAAAGTAAAAAAGAAAAACAACTAAGTAATCCTTCCTCATATTTAATGATTCTCATTACAACGAAAACAGTAAAGAGCACAGTTTAGTGTTATGAGCCATCATGGCTCACAGAGTGATTTTTGTCCTCTTACCTTGCTCTTTGATATGGAATTCGAATCCTCTTTCAAAGGCAGAGGAAGAAGATCCTCCTTTACTCTCTCGAAACCTGAAAGGAAAGGAAAGAACAAAGAAAATGTTGATGTTCACTTTGCTGCGACTCGTCAAAATTCATCGGAAGACTCGGACTAATGTTGCGTTTCTAGAAATGTCAAACAGCGTCAGCAGAACCGTGTCCTGAGGGAAACTCGACTTTCACTTCGGCGAATTCTCATTCCAATTAATGAGTTTCTAGCCAATTCCCAAAACCAAACAACGGCTCTCCCGCTGAGAGTGCAGCAGCCGGCGAGGGGGACGCCTGGACCTGTAAATATTTCATGGTTTCTTTCCTTTAACCCCGGGACTCCAGCTTCCTCTGCTGTGAGCACAGAGCAAGTCCTGCAGAAGCTCGTTTTCAAATGTCAACGTTTGTGATATGGAACAGAGCCCAGAGGAGGAGTGATGTGCAGAAAACGATTCAAGACACAAATCACTGGAGAATACATTTGTTTTCAGAGAAGTCACCAGATGATGTGGGGAAAGATGCCGTCTTGGCTGAAGGCCAATGCGCCAATAAGTCGTCTGAATTAGACAATTTAACCCTGAGATGTAATAACCAGGAGGTTTAATGTTCAGTCATTGATTTGTAGTGTCTTGAAAACAAACAATGGCTTGATTAAAAGAACACTGTGGCATCACTTAGGTTTGTAACGTTGCATCTAAATGGTGAACAGATTTCTGAAACAACATTCATTTGAAGGTAAAAAAAATGTTGTAGATCAGAAGAAATACTTCAAACTGTTGAACACGGCAGTGGAAGATTAAAGGGTTGGATGTGGTTTGCAGTCGAACAGGCAGAAGGTATGGGTGGTGCACCGATCAATCGGCACAGATTTTCTTCATTTCAGGTGATTGGCGATTGACTGATTCTAGAATTTTTTATTTCTTCAAAAAAAAGTAACAAATCCAATGACTTTTTTCTGTGTTATTGAAGACTTTGGCAACAGAGGGGGTTTTTTTTGTTTTCTTTTTTATTGGTATTGGCCAAAATCGGAATCGGTGCACCCTTAGTAGAAAGCCAAAGCAAGAACTTGGACAAAAGAAGCTAAAATCAAAATCCTGTAAAGTGCATGCAAAAATGGTTAGCATTATTTTGTTTTTTTGGCAATTCTCTTACCAGGAACTTGTTTTAACTTCAACCATTTTCTCCTTAACATGTATTAGCAATAATGATAAACTCCTCATATCCATTCAACTTTAGTTCAGATCAGTTCTGTCTCTTCATAATTTATGAGGAATATGGCAGATTTTGATAGAAAATTTGTCAATACTTTTTAAACAAGTTTTAGTGTTAAAACCTTTTGACCAAAATGTACCAAAGACCCAAATAAATAAATGCATGTTATTAAATACTGTTACAATATCACAGTAAAACTATGATTATGATTATGCAATTAAACTTTGGCTAAATTGACTTTATGTTTTAACTAGCAAACAAAAATATTACATGTAATCCAATAACCAAATTCAACCTGAGACGCCTAACGATGCAACCTTTACTGTTAACCACATTGTGCTTCCATGGTAACACATAACCTGAAGACTTTATTGCTTTTTAACTGGTTATAAACTTTTAATAGTTTTATTAGTTTAGATTTTCTCAGACAGCCGCTTGGATATGAAATTTTAAACTAATCAGCCCACCAGAATCACTCTCCTGACCTTTTGGATCTTACTAGGAGTTAAAAATATTACCTTGGCTCAGTATCAAAGGCTAAGTGACACTTTGATGAAGTATGAGGAAATCTCATACCAATTAAAACGTAGAAAGTCAATGAAAACACATTTCCTGGTTTTTATTTTCTATTTTACCAACTCCTCTGACCTCTGAGCAATACTCCAGCTGAGGAAGAATGACAGCTGCTACAAGGACTTCCTAAGGGCAGAGTCTCCCTGTCTGAGAGCGAAACTCTGCCTTCACCGCCTCTTTCTCCAAAATCAATACTTTGTGCTTTTTTTTTTTCTGCACATCAATGCCAAATCAACAAGAAACCGAGCATGACCTTCAACATACCGACTGGTGTTTTCATCTTAGCATCAGCAGCAAATATTTTCAGCATAAACAGTCCTTCCCATCCAAAGCTGCATATCTGATGTGTTCGGACAAAAACACCACGCAGTGTTTTTATCAGATAATCTACAAATTAACTTACTAAAAGAAAAATATGTATACATTTCTTTGCTTTCAAAATACAATAAGTTTAACAAATTTCAAATTGCATCTTATTGAGAAATTTTTGTTCAATATAGAATTTGCGAGTCAGAGCTTATGAAATGAGATGGTTAGATTGAATAAAGTCTCATTAGAAAAGGCAAAATAAAACAGTAATGTATCTTGAAAATCAATCTCAATAGATATTTATATTTTATAGCATAGTGAGCACCGCGTCCCATTGATTGAACGTGCAAATAGAAAGTGAAAAGGGATGAATGTTCATCTGTAAGCCTTCGGTTGTGGATGAGTCACGCCGCACCGCATCCCGACTGTAGCGTATGTCTCTTTAAGGTAAGAGGAACAGCAAGAACCTCTGTGACAGATCAGATGTTGGGGAAGAAGGGAGACCAAATGGAATGCGACGGTACAGAAGCAGCAGGGAGCGCACCATGCTGCTAGACTGGATGTTTTCCACATCCATTACCACCCTCATAAGGTCAGAACACAGTCCATGTGCCTTACCCGCATTGTTGGAGAGCAAATATGGCACAAGACAGCAAACGTAAAGGAATGCATGTTAAATATTTACACGTATTCAAATGTTATTTGTCTCGTTTGACATATTAGCCACATTTAGCATACAGAGTGGAGTATGATAACCCACAGTAGCTTACGGGTTATATTACTGAAAATCCATATGCCACTGACACTTCTGAAGCTAACCTTAGCATTGTTGCTAATTTCAGCATCAGAACCCCCGATTTGGGTCCGATCAGGGCTTAAACTAACTTTAGCATTTTAGGTCATTTTAGCTTATGCACTTCTTGCATAGCAAATGGAGTAAGTCAGTGTTAGTCAGTATGCTAATGATTCCCCAGATGCTAATGACTACATTTTAGTTCACCTAAGCATTGTTGCTCATTTCAGCAGCAGAATGCTGGATTTCAGACACAAATATTTTGGCAGGCCCCTTTTAAATTTCTTCAAAAATGTTCTAATTGCATTTTAATGTTTATTCTCTCTGCACTGAGTTCTTTATAGTACAAAAACACGTGTGTAGGATATAATTTGCTCTCCCCAGAAGTATTCAGTGCAGTTTCACCAAGGTATTTTGTCAATGTTTTGTAATCTAGTAAAAACTGTATATATATATATATATATGTATTATTTTCTACCAAGTCTAATTTTTGAGGGGTAATGGTCCATCCAGTCAACAGATGGAGAGACAGCACAGGGAGGAAAGTGCACCGGCAGGGTCGTAGGAAAGGTCATTTTCTGCTAGGTAGTGCTTGGAACCCTGTGGTAACTGTCTGCAGTTCTAGTTTTATTTAAACTTTTACAGAGTGATTGAAATTTTTACAGGAAACACAGCTAATGATGTTGAACGAGAATTCCTTGCTCACAGTATGTGCTCTATTCATCTTAAAAATGTTGCAACGAGTTGAGATCAGGACTCTGATCTTCCACACCAAACTCAATCACTCATGTTGTCATGGTAACTTGCTTTTGGTGGCAGTAGGTAGCCATTTTGGAATAGGAAGAGGAAACAGTTCAACAAAGTAGGAAGGATAAAATGATCACAACTAATGAATAATAGCCCCATAATATAACGCCCTCAGAAACACAAGTGCCGTTTCCCGGGGCAACAACCAAAACCAGACTCGTCTGTTGAATCTACAGCACAGCTGAAGTATGGAGGTATGTAGATATTGACACAGCTGAAAATTGCAACTAACTAGTAAAAAATGAAACATATTTACACTTTTGGAATCATCAATCCCAAAGAAATGCCAATTCAATCTTGAGAGAGACAAATTCATAAATGCTTGCATAACCACATGCTTTAGGTGCTGAGTTTTATACACATGTAGTCATGGAAGGGGTTGGGCAACTGAATTCAACAATGTTGAGGACTGGTCTGTCACGTTCAACAACATATTATAAATCATGTTCTGAATGCTGCCTCTTTGTAGTCCTTATTGATCTATTCTTAATATATTTTTGGAGATGAAAACAGTCTCTGGCGCTCTGTTGTGCCTCTGAAGATGTGACGTTCTTGCCGCAGCCATTAAGCCCCTCAATTCATCAGCCCATCACTGTGCTTCACAAACAGAAGTAAGAAAAGAAATTAAGTGAATGAAGCATTAAGATAAATGCTCTTAGGAAGAGAAAAATCAATTTTCCTTCAGATGGAGGGATATTTTAGGCATGGATGTCTGAATGGGAGGAGGTGCAGCAGCTTGTATTTCCATGGTGGCAGTTTTGTGTGGGATGATCTATTTATATTTTTGGTGAGGCTAAACCAAGTAACTGCTATGAAAAGGCACATTGTAAACCAAAATAAAAGCAAAACTCAAAGTCGTGTGGTATTAAATAATAATTTACTTCATGTCCAAGCAAACAGTCACAGCAGGAGTCATACAGCTCAGCCTGATTTCCCATGGGTCCAACAAGACGTCCTATTCTTAAACATCTTCAACATAAGCTTCTGGATAGTTTATTAAAACAGGACAATCTATATAAAAAAAAAAAAAAAAAGACCAAGAACAGCAGGGCAACAACTACGGTTGAAACCAAACGTTTACGTACACAGAATAAAAAACAAAGACATTTTCTCACTGTTTGAAGTTAAGTTAGACGGAATACTGTTTTCTTATTTGATACAATGGGAAAGTCAAAAGAAATAAGCCAATGTATCAGCAAAAGGATCAATTATACACAAGAATAGACATGATGGGAATGTCCAACCATTGTAGCAAGCAGGAGACTGGCTCTGTGACCAACAGATGAATGTGTTTGGGTCCAGAATGTGCAGAAAAAAGAGGAAGCTAATATGCTAAAAAAAAAAAAAAAAAAAAAAAAGAACGAGACCTTCATATTTGGATATATTTTCATCTGATGAAACTAAAGTTGAACTGTTTGGACGTGAAAAGAATTGTTGCAAATGGAGTGAAAAATGCAGAATGCTTGTACCATCCTGGATGGTAAGGGGGTGGCAGCATCATGCTGTGGGGTCATTTTGCTACTTCATGAGGACTGAATATTATGTGGTAATACTGAAGCAACTGCAGTCAGGAAGATTTTTTTAAACTTAGAATTTAAGACAAATTAGAGTTTTTGGGAACTTGCAATCAGTTATCAAAGATTTCCTAATGTATTTTTTTTCCCTGCATTAGAGGGAATAAATGCAGGGATTTTATGTGAATTTCCAAGATCGCAGAAAAACTAAAGGAACTATCTAGACAATGTGGCAAAGTCATCTTAGAAATGACTCCCCAGAATCAAACTGACATTGACATTTCAGTCTAAACCCCTTAGAAAATCTGTAGGTGTAAGCTGATGAGAGGAGAATATAAGACAAGGGATTTTTCAGACGCCAAAAAGCTTCTATGAGCTGCAGACGAGGAGAGATGTGGGAGTAAAACACAAAACAAAAAAACAACCAGTCGTGGAGCTCAAAAGACAAATCAAAGACAACAAGCACACAAGTGGGTTAGTCCAACCTGCCTGCTCCAGTTATCTCCTTCAGAGGCTCTTGGGCGCTGCCGTCTGGTAGCTGAATGTCAAAAATTAAGATAAATGGAGTCGGGGCTGCAGGAGGAGAAACACTATGACTCAGAGACGCTGTGTTGAAGTCTGAGAGATTTGTATAGCTGGAGGAGGTACTTTAGAGGAGGAAAGAAGGCGGCTTTCGGCCAAAAAGGTCGCCAGAGTAAATCTCCGGCCACGGCAAACGCTTTCAAAGCCTGCAACAGAGTCGGCCGTAAGCTCTGAGACTCAAAACGCCAAACACAAGAGCAAAGAGTTAGCAGAGTTACCAGGTCATGCAGGAGAGTCATGAATACTGCATCCGTCTGTGGCTACAAAACAAGGTTTGTGCACAGTCAGCCTTTACTGGGTTTCACTAAAGTTAAAAATAGTCGTGGGGAAAGGTGGAACAGGGGACGCGTTCCCTCTTTGGGAGCGCTGTGTGGTCGCCAGCTGTCCGCCTCCAGCTCCGTGCTCTTTTTCACCAGGATGAACAAAAGCAAAGATCACTGAAAGCCATTTTACAAATGAATGGTAGCCTGATTTAATCCTTCGTTTACCGTAGGATTAAATGCACTTTAAAAAAAAAAAGAGGATTATCACAGCACTTTCGTTGGGGAATGGCTGGAACCCGACGTAAAGCCCAACTGAAGAAGACGAGTTGTCCATTACCAGCTTGCGCAAGCTTATTTAGCTCTAATTCAAAACTACAAAGAGAATACGCAGCAAAACGGAAAATTCGCATTTTTTCCGATTCAGTAAACACATGCAAGTGAACGTTGTTTTGAACTATGCTTGACAATGTCTAGCTTTTTTTTTTCTTAGACCATAAAACAGAGGTACAAACATGTATTCACGCTCGAAAGTCAATGTTTGCTAGATTTAACTATTGTACAAATATGAACTTGATTTAGTTAAAATCCCAGTAAAGATAAATAAAATTGGTAAATGAAACCTTAAAACAACCGAAAAGTCTTAGAGTTGAGAAACTACAAGAGTTCTTGAGAGAGATGATAGACCGATTCCTCCACAGACACCAATGAGAACATCTCATTTAAGCTGATTCTCCCAACTTCATACTTAAAGTCACAACTTTAAATTCACTATGAGTGGCCGCATCATGAGGGATGTGGAAAAAAACAACAAAAAAAAAACGTCTCAATTCCTAAAGTTTTTTTCCCCAATCGGCAGCGAGGTAATGTCACTTTTCAGAATAGTTGCTTTAGATGACAAAGAGGAGTTCACCCTGTTGAACTATGCTTTACTCCAGATTCATAAACATTATCAGTAGATTATAGATGTGGGAGGATTGTTGGACTTGTCTTGACAACAAAAAAGTAGTAAAACACAGCGTTCTGAGAAAACTCTTCCCACCGTAGAGTAAATCCTGTAGTAGAAATCAGTCGCGACCACAAGCTGAACTACTAAAAGACTCTGCGGCGCCCTGCGACCCGGGGAGCACACCCACCTGGAAGCGAGATGGGTGACAGCTCGTTATAGCCCCCGAAGGAGGCGTTGCGGATGAGCTTGCGTCCGTCCGGGTGCGGAGGTCGAAGCGACGCCGTCCCGCCACACGTGGAGAACCGCCGGCGGTTCAGCAGGCCCTCCTCCTTCATCATGGGGCCGGCACGGAGCTCCCTCGCCAGGGGGGGGAGGAAGACACAAGGGGGCGCAAGGGAAGTGAGGAGGGGGCTGGAATGCTCTGGGGCGGAAGGTTGGAAGGTGATCGGGAAGCCAATTCCCTCTAGTGTGCGAGTGAAGCGGTGGAGGAGCACAACACAAAAACACACGCAGGCTTTGAATCAGTGCAGCCGACTGGCCCCCTCTTCCTCACACACACTCTCTCTCTCTCTGCTATGAGAGGGGAGAGGCTGTAAGTACTTAATAAGGAATAAGCCGAGCCCCGCCTACTCCCTGTGCTCCGGATGGGAGGGGAGCCGCATCCTGACTCGATGTGTTCCACGTCTAGTCTTCCTCTGCTGCTGCATTTCTCCTCAGGAGTTTCTAATCGGCCCCTTTAGACGTACAGGAACACTTCACTGCTTCCCCAGATGATTCATCTTTTCTAAACGTTGAACTAAGATGCCTGTTTTCTTTTTGTTGTCGTTTTTTTTTTTAATGGCGGCTGTAAAAGCGGAGCCTCTATTTTGATTGTAATAGTAATCAGTCACATCACGGATATCGTGGATTCATATCCGTGACGTTCCGTCCTGCTTTTTATCTTTGGAAGACGAAGCGAAGAAGACAGATAATGATGAGAATGAGGCAGAATCAAAAGCTCCACGACAGCTTGGCTTCCCCAAAAGCTCTCACCGCTCTCACACATTCCCAGATTTCATCCCAGACTCAAAACTGCCAGATTTTATCTGGATATATGAACATAAAACAATCCCCTTTAAATTTCTTCCACGGAACTAGATCTACTTGTAATCTGCTGATGAGATGGTCTTTTTGTCGTTTCCTTCTAGTTACTAGTTAGTTAGTCAGTCAGCAGTATAACAGATGACGTTAAATGAATAATAAAGAAACAGAAACTGGTAAAAACTATAGGTTGACTACCTAGAATAAACTCCAACAAACCTTCATTCAAATGGGTTCAAAGAGCAATTAGGATTTTTAAATATAAGGTAAAATAAATAATAAAGCATAATGTGGCTCAAAGCACAGAGCATAGAATTAGACTGAACAGATCTGCTTTTATGGATCGGGCACATTGTCACCAATACCTGATCTATAAGTTTTTAAAGTATCGGGACCAACACAGATGTAAATGTTGGATCGGTGCATTTCTAGCTGGAGCTGCACAGACTTTATGGCAAAGAACTAACTTTGTAGCTAGCTGAATGTCAAAGACACAACTTCATATTTAGTTGAATTTGTAAAAAAGAACAAAAAAAAACTGCAGTTAATCCAGTTTAATTAGGACTTCAGCATCAGTAAAGGGATTTCCAAAGAGCTACTTTCTGATAACTTATAGATTTATATCCTCATTTAGATTTTGTCCTGTAGAAACTTCATTTTGTTGTTTTCATAATTACCCAGACTTTGATGACGTTTATTAAAAATGGCCAAGAACGCACAGATTTAAGAAAAATCTTACTGTATATGTAGTTTCTGGCGCTATTATCCTGATAAATAACAGTGAAATGTCCCTAAAGAGGGGTGTGTCCTTCTGTAATCCTAAAGACCTGTAGCTGCTGTGAGGTCAGGGGTCATCGGGCAGCACAAAAACAAGCACAAAGCTCCATTAAAGACAGAAGGAAGACAAACTATTTGCCTTTATCTGGGATGAGAAAAGCCTTGAACCTTATCTTCAAAACCCCAATCTGTAAGGAAGAACATCTACAACGCCGCCATCTTCTTTCCAATCAGCTGACCTGCCCTGTTTATTGTTGTGACTTCAACCTGTCTAAAAGCTCCGAGCGTCCCACTGGCCTTTTGTCAAGTCTCAGTCCGTGGAGACGGTTCATCAGAGACAGATTGACTGAGTATAAACAAGCATAATCCCTTCTAAAACTTCTGTGGCCGTGGCAACCGGCCGTTCCGCGCCTGAGAAATGCACAGCAATGGCCGTCTGACTCAAATGTGCTTTAATTAAAACAGGTAATTGGATGTTGGGAACGAGTGAATCATTTCCCACAGCTAATTAACCTGCGAGGAGAGGAGGCGTCCGTCGCCGCTGCGCCTAAAATTAGTCTGCATGTGGGTCAATTTTTTTCAAACTGGGTGCACATCTAACTGAAGAAAATATAATGAAATACAGTTTTGAAAGGATTGAGGATTTTAGCAGCAACATGTACATCAGAGTCAGTCTGTCACATGCAGAAAACATAACCAAAGCCTTAAAGGAAACACCATGTAAGCCTGGGATTACCTCTGGAACAAAGAGGCTATTTAAATCACTGATCTATTGACTCCGTCTACTGGCTTTGAGTCAATGCAACAACATTACTAAATTTAAAATCTGTTTTTTTATGTTCCCTTCATCTTTCTTCTGTCCTTAAATCAGCAATTTTCAGGAAAATAGAAGGTATAAAACCACAACGACCACACGGAAAACAAGTAGTGCTCTACTGTACTGTACCTCGGTTTTCTTCTGGCTAACAATCAAGAGAAACTCAAAAGAGTCCAAAGCTGAGGAGCAGACAGCAGCTTAACCTCCCATGTCGCGCTACGGTCACTCCGAGTGCTCCAGCTGCCCGAGCGGCACTCGGAAACCCAGACGGAGATGTCGTCCATCGTGTCTTCCCGACCCGGTCGGCGTTCGGGTGGCCCGCTGGAGGAAGATGGGGAGGCTGCTGATCAGAGCGGCCCCCTCCGTTTAGCTAACCCGGTCTGACAGAGACTAATCCCCGCAGCTGATCCTAAATCCAAGCTGACCCCACCTGTTCCCTTTGCTTTTCGTCTCCCTCCGCTGCCCATTTCGCTTTCTTTTAAACAGAAATACGCGCACGAAAGCGCTAAGCAGACTGAAATTTTCTGTGTTTTGCCACATTACGACCAGGCCTGTCAACATAAGAAACTTTGACAGATGATAAATTGTCCCGGTAATTATTGCAATGAATGATGATATTGTCGTTTTGACCCAATTTACAAGTGATAAGTTGAACATGTCAAAGACCAATAAACTTGAATTTTGTAAAGAACACTTGACGCTGGAACTGGAAGATTTTGTTTTAAAGATCCAAAATAAAACATGACAACCTAATACAATGAAAAAAAAAAAGGGGATAAAAATTACTTACAATCGAAACCATGAATAAAATGGATTATTACGTTTCTGTAAACAAAATTGCCATGGATTAATACAGTAACACTTTAATTGTAATTTTCTTACTTGTTTGTTTTTTTTTTTCATTTGTCTTTCTGCCAGAGACAAGATTCTTCCCGCGCCAGTAAGAATCTTTGAAAGCATGTATTTGTATTGTTATGCATGTTATCAGTTAAAAAATGGTCTCTATACTGTCAAGCAAAATTTGTTTTCATGACAGGCGGCGATCCTTCTGTCCACTGCATCATCACCTAGGACGATTCTTCAGAGATACTTGGATGATATAAGTTACAACGTCTAGTTTTATTTTGGTAGAAATACAGCATTATTGAACTGAATTGTTTAGATCAATTCACATTCATGTGTCAGAATGGCCTAGTCAAAGGCTGACGTAAAATTATTGAGAAGTCACTGCAGTGAAAGGTGATTCCGCAAAGTACTTAAAAGAACTCCCCACCACACTTTTCAGATTGTCATCCCACATCAAGTCCCGATTAAACCTCCTATGGCTCGTGGCTATAATGTGAGGAAATGAGGAAAACGTTCAAGGTGCAATAAATACGCAAGAACTGGAGTCGGTTGTTTCCAGACTGCTGATCCTCAAAGAGTCGGCGCCTACGGCTGAAGACGTCTCATCAAAACGGCTCCTCGCTGAGTCATAAGGCAGAGGCAACGCCGTTTCTGTGCGTGTGCGATAGGAAATCACCGAGATGAAGCCGACGCGCCATGAAAGCAGGAGCATCTTTAAATATTTAAACACTGATATTAATGCATGATTCCAGAAGCCAGAGTTATTGGTGAGAAAGAGTCACGGAGGGATTTTTACAAACGCTAATGAGTTAAAATATGGAAGAAACGCATATAAATATGAGAATAAGTGGAGCTTCAATGTCTGGAGATGACTCCATGTATTTAATATGCTAAACCTTCGTACTTGTACTTGACACTGCTGAAACAACCGCTCAGCTTCACACCTCAGCTGTGAATGTTCCCTCACAGCTCCGGCTGGATTTGAGTAATCTTACGTCACCGCGATGCGTCTCGCTGTACGGACAAACTGTAAAACATTCTGACAGAGGAATTATGGGGGGAGGAGAAATAAAAAATAAAACTTTTATCTTTTTTTTTTAAATCGAGCAAAACAAAACGAAGCTCAAGCTGCCATCGAGACGGCTGTTCTGGACTGCAGCTTTGACTTTTCTTCGACAGATCAAGACCAGTGGCATTTAATGGCTCTGACATCAGTATTGTTCGGGCTGAAAATCAGTTGCCATGGATACCTATTTTGGTCTTGAAGGAGTTGAGGGTCAGAGAAGGTTTTCGCGAGTCATTGTGAAAACAAACAGAGGCAGTTTGGACGATGCTGCAGCATGTTAAGGTGTATCCTTAGGAAAATGTTCAGGTGCTTTTCTTAATCTGGATCATAACTGATAATAACACGCTGGACATCGAAGTTACGACGGCCAAGTTATAACCAGAAACTTCAACCTAAACGGTTTTAAAATAATAACTTCACAGCACAGATATTACTTTGTTCCATTTCCTCTTCTCATAAAAGTATGTTGAGAATGTTTCAAAATGTTTGACGGTAGACCAAGTGGAATTTTTCTTCCAATCCTGAATTATGCACTATTTTGAGTCAGTAACTTAAAAAATAAAAAATTCAAGGCAACTGAATGCAGATTTATATTTGTGTCATAGTAGCTCCCTCTTGTGGTATGAACACGTCTTTAAACATACACATGTTTTCTAAAACCACTAACAAATGAAATTAAGCTCTAACATTATGACCGTCATTTTACACCTGCTGACTACCTAATCAACATCAAATCACTAAGATGGACAACCATTCTTTCCGGACTCCATGATCAGCAGTGACTTCATTACTAAGACAATGAAGAACTGGTCAAAAGAAAGAGAAATCAATATAGTTTTGTCAAGATGATACACTGTAATGTACCTTTAAGGTAACCGAGCAACCACCCTCAGGAAGATCTTCAATCCACAATCTTATCAGTGATTAACAGAAACTCGAATTTCATCAGTAAGACCTGCACAAATCTTGAACGCATATTCTTTATAAAGCCAGAAGAGGGCGCACTGAGACCACAATGAGATGAATGAGTGGTTATGCAAGACGTTAGTGAAATCTATTCTATTTTGTTCCACAGCAAGACCTTTACCTAGTGTGAGGACAAAATACAGAACAACATTAATTTAATGAAAAGAGATACATTTGTACTTTTTAGAGGAGCATCAGTGCTAGCGGATATGGCGCTAAAATTAGCTCCAACCTGCTTAAAAGGCCTTAAATGAACTCATTCCTACAGGTTTTTAACTGATGACTGTGATTATGCACCCAGATCGTTATATCTCCGTTCTTTTGAATTGATTTCAAAATGTTTAAACATGATTCTCAAAGTAAAACAACAAATTGGAAAAAAAAAAAGAAAAAGCAAGATGAAAAAAACTAAATGAGATGAATGTTCAGTGTTTACTGTATGTAAGTAAACACTGAACACACAGTGAGGAAAAGACGAGGTTCTTATCACCTCATAAACTCAGCAGGTCAGGCATACTCTGTGAGTCATGCTGCTGCTCAATCCAGACTAAGACAGCTAATCTGATTATTCTGCAAATGATAAATGTTTACTGCTTTAATCAGGAGGAAGGCTACAGAAGTTGAGCCGTTTTATGCTGCTGCTGTAGCCTATACAGCTTCTCCTTATTTGCATTTACTCTACAGTCTTATTTTTAT